TTGTGTGTTACTCACAGGACTGCTATTTTTCATTCAGCTGTTTTTGCTTTTCCACTCATCCACAATCTGCTGTGTATGGTAAGTCAATTTATTGGCTGTCTCCTGCTGCTTTGTGGAGGTGGTTCTGCACAAGTGCAACCTCATTGAATCCTGACTGCTCTCATGTTAGTTGCTTGTAGCATTTGGAGATAGGATTTCCCTGTGCATGTGGCAGGTAGCTGGCTCTAGAGAGGGCAAACCCAGCCTCTGCTGGTAGATTGTGAGGTAGGAATGTGTGGTTCTGCTCAGAACTACTGAGCTGATTTTTAAGAAACTTGTTTTGCCGTGACTCAGTGATTAAAACTGAAATTCAGGTTGGATATCTGTACTGTTTTTCCAGTTACAGTGATTACCTTTGCTTGGCCAAGTGAATGAGTTATCTGCTGTGAACATGATATTTTACTGCCTTTCTTCTCTGTCCCTGCTCTGGAGCACTTGTGGTCTTTCATGTATTTCTTTCATGGGAATGAGGTGGAAGCCTTGGGCATGAGACTAAATAACTTTCTCAGGTTTGCACAGGATCTTGTAGCCCAAGAAAGGATTGAAACAGATTCCTCTAATCCATGTCTAGTGCTTTAGTCCAGGGATCAGGCTTTCCTTTCTTTGCTGTTTTTGTACAATCTCTTGATTATCTTAGCTAAAACAAGGAGAGCAGCAGTTGCCAAATCCCAGAGGAAGGTTGTGAAGACTCCTTCGGTATGAGAGTTACTGTGTGCAAAGGAGCAGCCTTCTGGAAAAGAGAACCCAGACTGAAATGGTCTTGTACCCTTTTGTGGTTTTTTTTTTAAGCTTAAAGTTTTTCCAAAGGAAGCAACGAGCTTTGGTAGTTTGTGTGTGTTATTGGGGTCACAGTGGTTCTTATCACTGTTCTCTAGGGTGAGACTTACATTTCAAGGACTACGTGCCAGATATTGGGTCATTTGCAGTTGTGGGGTGCTAGAAGAAGGCAATGCATTGCAAGGACAGAATGTTCTTACGGGTTTTTGCCAGTGGAAAAGGACAGATTTTTCCAGAAAACTTTTCCTTGGTCTGGGAATTCCTTTTTATCAGTCTTTAAAGTTACACCCTAATGTGTGTTTCTGTTTGGAGTTAGTACTTCTCGTTAGTCAGTTTCTGATCTGATCTTGTCATATAGGTGAATTTTAGAGATGAGAATGTGTTTTGAATAGAACAGCTACTAGTCCTTCTGTTGTTACGGTTGTGATATGATATTGTTTAGAAAAACTTTCTGCATCATGTTTTTAAATCATTGAGGTGTTTTATTGCCTAGCTAGCAGAAAATATGCGCTTGAAAATATGTGATTGAAAGATCACGTGAAAAAAATCCACACGGTTTGATGTTTTAAAATGTAGCAACTGTTGCATTCTTGCAAGAAGAAACCAGAAGCCCCACTGAAGCCTGCCAGTCAGTGGTTATAAAATTCTGCAAATGGCTCTTTTGGTTTCTTGTTTTGGGAGAAGTTTTTCTTCACACAGTAAAAAATACTTACTGTAAACTTTGGTGGGAAGCCATTAATACACTCCAGCCCCTTAGACATGTCAGAACAATGGGTCTCTCATCAGTGGAGCACAAGTTGAAGTAAGCTGTGTAATAGTACTCTAGGCATAACCTTACTGATGAAGCTGTGATTAGTGGTTTCATGCTGCTCTTTCTTCGCAGAGGCCAAGAGCTGAGGGACTTGGTTAACAACCCCACGCCAGGCAGCAGTGTAATGTGCATTTATACAGTTGGAGCAAATGCTTCTCTTCTGGAGTCAGAATTCATGTTTTATAGCATGGGAAAGAGATCTGGAGCTGCAATATATTTTTGTTTGTTTGACAAATGAAGCAGAAAATGTTCTTCTGCAGTAGTAGTTTCCCATAATACCACTACCTATGCAGGTGTTTCTTGCCTGAGTGCATGAAGTAATGTATCTGTGTCTGTTCTCTTACTTGATTTGGTTTCTTTCCATCTTAGCCTGCCAGGCTAATGCGAAACCCTGATTTGAATATCATGTAATTCACTGAAAATATTCTGCAGGTATCAGAAGAGCACTGCTTGAGTATAGTTTTAAGAGAGCTGAACCCTGAGGTTCATCCACAGCTTGGTCTTCCTTGCTGAATGTACTTTTATAAATAATGTGCGTGCAGAAGGGGATCAGTTGGAAGGACTGTGTGGGTCTGTCTTTATAAATTGCCTAATCCTAATGAAATGCTGTAAGAAGACACTGTCAAAGAGGAGGTGTTTGAGTGACTGATGCTGTCTGCTACTGAGTGATGTTTTTTCTCTCAGCTGCACGTTTTGGAGGAATCCATCTTGGTCTTGGGTACTTATGTAGCCTCTACTGCCATTTATCTGAACACCGTTTCCTTGTAAGCAGAGCACTGTAGAGATGAGGAAATCTAAGTGACTTCTCTAAAGTCATGGGGAAAGGCTCTTTAAGCCCTGGTTCCAGATCTGTGCTTTGACTGCTGACTCACAGTTCCTGCCTGATACCCAAACTAGTTGTACCTTCTCATGTGAGGGCAACATGTTGCAGAGGGAGGGTTGAAATAGAAAGAGAGAAAAGAGCAGAGCAACACAAGAAATTCAGGTGGTGAATTGCCTTGGTGAATCTGGTCCTGAGTGATAAAGGAAAAAACCACCTGGCTTGCTCTCTATTCCTTTGCTTTGACAAGTGAGATCTTGGGGAGCTCCCTGAACTGCAGGTGGCAGCATGTGACGCTTGTTTGCTTTGAAAAAGGGGGAAAGTATGTACTGATCTTCCTTCCTTTTGGAGTATTTCTGCCTTTACCTGTTAGGGCAGTTCCTTTCCTGACAAACGCACAAAGAAAAGGAAAGGGCAACATGAAAACCTACCTCATGTGAGAATGTTCAAGAGTGATGAAAATAAAATCTCTAATATCTGAGCGCTCCCCCTGTGCATGAGGGATTGGAGTGCATATTTACAGCAAGATTTTTAGCAAACCGTAGGCATTCCTACCACCCTAGCATCGTGAAGGAAAGCTGCTTGTTTTTACGTTCACAGGTTCTGCAATGCAACAGGTTTAAATGATAAATGGAGTGATTTAGCTGTTTTGGTTTCCTTTTTGTGTCTGAAATACAGAAAAAAGCTGGGTTTAAAACCAACTGTCCAACTGTCACGTGTCTCTGCAGAAGCTCTGCTATGCAAAACACTAATCCTGCAAAAAATTAATAGCTCTGCAACATCGTGTCACCTGCTTAATCATGCCCTTGATCTTGTTTTCTGTTCTTCAGTCAGAGTTAATGTCTTTGTCAGGAATTCGTTTGTAGCTTTCGCGTGGCCAATTGTGTGTTCCCGCTGCTGAAGATGCATGGTAATCTCTGTATAATCTTTTCAGCCATGTGTTTGGGCTGAGAAGCACTCTGTAAGTAGGCATTGTCTTAGGGATCTGCACTCTTGTTTCCCTAAATCCTAAAGTTGGCCAAACAGTGCGAGCAATATACCTTTCTCTGGTTTGCCAAGACGCAAAGGTCTTGGTGGCTCTTGATAGCCACCAGCTCCTTCCAGCCTCAGCAGAGCAGGGAGCAGTACATTGCTACAACAGGGTTACTAGCTTATAGCTCCTCCCTGTGTCTTGGCTTTGTATTGCTTTTGGTGGATAAGACTCCTTTAGCAAATCAAGTTAAATCAGCCACTCTTTGCTCTGAGAAGGCTCTTGTAATTAACAAATTCCTTTTGAGAGCAACAGGATTTTCTTCTTGTTTTTTTTTTTTGTTTTGAAGTTGGTCATTATGTGGTTTTTGAGCTTCAGCAGTTGATGCCAGAAAAAAAGATTGATATGTGTCAGTGCTAAGGGATGCTTTTACCACAAGTGGCAAGGAGCAGGCAAGTGAGTATGAATTGGTATGTTAATAAAGGCCAGCAGTGACAATTCCTGATTGGGTGAGGTTTGTACTTCCTGTTATTCTTGTGTGTGTGAGTGCGTACCTTTTTTATGAAACCCTACAGAAATACTGAAGCATTACACTGGAAAAACGGAGCAGCTTTCTTCCGTACTTTGTAAGAATGTCTAAACAGGATCAAACTGAAGGTTCCTTTAGCTCCATCCAGCTGTGACAGCTGTCAGAAGTGGATGCCTAGGGGAAAGGAAAGAGCAAATATAGAAGGATGCTTTCAGGGGCTTATTCTTTCAGCCTCCAGTAATTTACATCTCAGACTTCCCAAACCAGAGAGGATATCTTTGTATTTTGTAAGTTTCCATGAACTTCTGTTCTGTAAATCCGGTCCCTTCTTGAGCCTGTGTAACTCTGTGTCCATAGCATCCCATGGCCAGAAATGTCAGAGTTTTGCTGTATATATGAAGAACATCTAACTTGTTTTAACTCGCATGCTTGCTAACTTTGGTGGCTCACAGTTCTTGTGTTGAATGTCATGCAAACACATTGCTCACTATTCACCTGTTCCACAGCGCTTACAGTTTTAAAGAGTTTTGTCACATCCATTCTCAGTGACTATCTTCTTGGCCTGCATCTTCAGTTCTTAGAATGAAGCTGTTCTGTTCTTGCAATGATACTTGTCCTTTGTTTTTTTTTTCCAAGTCTTCTGTAGCTTTTTTTGGACTGAAGAAATAAAATAACACTATGAATTTGAGATGTGGGGTCACAGTGGATATAGACAACAATATAACATTGTTCCCTGTGTTCTGTTTAGTCTCCTTTCTAGGTTTCTCACATTCCATTTGCTTTTGGATGCATGTGAAAACCAAGTGTGATATTGCAATGAAAAAATTATCTAAGATTGAGTTCCTGAGTTGAGTGGTCAGCTCCAAACTCATTGTTATGTCAGTAAAGTTAGGATTGTTTTTTCCCTTGTGTGCATAATTTTTCATTTTTTCCCTAAGAGTATTTTTTCCCTAAGAGTATTTTTTCCCTAAGAGTATTTTTTCCCTAAGAGTATTTTTTCCCATCATTTTAAAGCTTGAGCTCATTAGGTTCTGCAATCCTTCATGACCTGCCTTCATTCCTCACTACTAAGTAACATCACACCAAGTTTGGCACCAAGTTTTCTGTCACTATCACGTTGTCTGTGTATCATACTGAGTTGGTTGAACAGTGACTGTTTAGCACAGAGCCCTCATGCGAAACCACCATCTGTTCTTACGCTCTGGTTCTTGTCTGCTAGGCACTTGTCATTGATTCAAGGGCCTTCTCTCTCCCTCCACCACGGTGGCTTAGTTTCTTTGTGCTAGTTGAGTCCCACTGGCAAGTCTAAATGTCCTGTATTGGTTGAATCTTCCTTAATCACTTGCTTGTTGTTGCCTTTGGAGAACTCCACTAGCTTTTTGAGCAGGACTTCTTTTTACAGCAATCGTTGGCTCTTCCCCAGTATGTACTGTTTATCGTTGTGCCCCCTAATTATATTCTTTTGACTTAGTACAGAGCTGAGGCTTACTGGTCAGAAGCTTTTTTTAGTAATAATTTTCTGTTTCCTCCATGTGTTTTAGTTCTGTAGAGCCTTTCTTGTAGCTGTCAGGTAACATTTGCTGGTGTGAAGGAATATAGATCAGAGCATTCCTAAGAATTAAATAGTCCATGTGGTCCGGTATGCAGTGTGGCGTGCTGCGTTATCTCTGCCTGCTCACTGGTGCTCAGAGATTTGCAGTAGGCTGTGAAACTCCTATCTCTAAATTCCAGTTTCGTTCAGGAGTAAAGTGACTCAGTGTTTACTAATTCATGGCGTGCTTGGTGGCTCATAAAAAATGAATAGGTAAATTGGAGTCTTGTTATAGTGGGGATGACTATTTACCTTTTTTGCCTTTGTTAATCTCCAAGAGGCTATTACTGGCCTTGATCTCAACTTTGGTTTCTTCTCTTCCCTTAGCAGTAGTTCCTGTAGGTCAGAATGGGGCAGCCTAAGGAAGGCTTTTACCCTTTACCTCCTGTCCTTTATCAGTTGTTGATAAAGACTGTAATCTCCACTGTCTTCCACTAATCTTAGACTTGATTAAAAACCTTGCTCTTAGAGGAGGCAGCAGTTTCTGGAGCTAAATGAGTAAATGCATTGAGTAGTGCAGTGTGTTATTCTTAATTGTTTTCTTCTTTTCAGATACCCAAATTAGGTTTGTAAAATCAGCATTGTGGTACCATGGCTATGGCAGGCCAGAACTCTATCGGCTCCCCTCCGATGGCTCAGCGGGTAGTCGGGAGCTGCTGCTGGCGTTTTCCTGGCTGCTGCACAGACTTGGCCTCTTGGAGCAGCTTTTGGCTCGGAACAGAGTAAAGACTGGGGATGAAACCTCTGTATGCACGGTGAGTGGGTTTGTGTTCTACCACCTTGTCTGTCCATAAGTAATCTTCTGTGACAGCAGCCGTGTTATCACTAATGTGTAATGTGTGGTATCGTGGTACCTTTACAAACAAGTGCCTTGCTTCACCTTTAGAAAAATGTGAAGGCGCCGGCATCTGGAACCTGTTTTCTTTCCCTTCTCTGAACTTTGTGTGCAGGTGATCTGAGTTCCTTCTCTTTCTCAAACTTCCACCCCTGCCTGAATTCCCTCAGTTTTATTTCCAGTATACGTGGGACCGGTGTGGAGGAGTGCAAGTAAGTGAATGTCTTTGATCTCTGTGCTTTTGAGTTTTGTGCTTCCAGACTGTAGCATGAGTGGTTCTACAGTGCAGGCAAACAGGTTAGCTGTGGCTGTGTTGGCATTGGGTAGAGCAAGTACTCCTAAGGCAAATAGTTCTTCTAAAAAACATCAAGATCTCAAATGGCAGCTACTGCTCTTGGGGTAACTAATGACCTTGAGAGCACAGTGGGGTATGTTGTTGTTTCCATCAATAAAAAGATGTTAGCACGTAGAAAACCTGCTCTGAAGCAAGCTAAGGATAGCTATGTATCTGCTTTAGTTGCGATATATATACATGTGATCAAAAAAACCCAAACAAAAAACCCCCACAACAACAAAAAACACACAAAAAAGAAAAAAAAAAACCAACACAAAACCACAGTCTAATAATATTTGGTAATGCTGCTTTTAAAATCTGTTCCTGTGCATTTAAGACAGCATGCACTTGTTACTGTATAGACAATTGTTCTGGAGCATAGAGTGAGAAGCTCAGGAGAGCAGATGATGTTTTTTCCATGTTTAAATCCTATTTGTTGCCAATAAACTGTCCCTGATCCTAACACAACAGGTAACATAGGCTGAATTTAAACTGATCAGTGCAACATGTTAGAGTGATTGAGACCTCTCTAGATGTTTGTGAGTTTGTTTTAACACATCTTCATCTGGTCAGTCTGGTTCAAAATTACAGGCTCACAGAATTGTCTCATTTTTTTGGCAAAGTACGTTGTAGATCAGAATCCCTACCTGCTGATATCTTGTAATGTCTAAGACCTTCTGGTCTTCGTGGTCATGTATGCATGCTCCTCTAGACTGTGGGCTGCCTGGTTTTGTGGAATCTTTCTAGGGGACAGCAAAGCAGGGAAACGAGTTTGAAAAGCTATGATGTAGATTGCTTCTTCAGAAGGAAAACCCTTGTACAAGTGGAAAACACTTCAAAGGGAAGTCACCTTTGTAACAACATTATTAAAAGTATTTTGAGAAAACAGACCGCTCTTGCTACACTACAGTTGTTTGCCACACAGAAGAGGGAGCGGATTGTGTTGGTGGCAGATTATTTTGTGTCCTTATTTTCTATTACAAAAGAGTAATGAGTGAAATGTAGCAGCAACGTGAATTCAGGAAATGAGGCAGCACCTATGTTATTTTTTCTGAAGGTCTTAAGTTTTGCATTTTCCAAAAAGAGATGGTAATACAGTGTTATCTTTTATGGCCACACAGAGGCACACGAAGAAATTTATTGCTGTGTCTTTCACTGCAATTCTAACCTGCTCTACCTATGTTTTTCAAAAAGCACGGATTATATATTTCATGTTTTTATACAATAACTGTCCAAAACAAGTTTGGAAAGGTTTACAGGCCTGGAAAATTCTCTTCAATAGACCAGACAAAAATTCTAAAGGCTGAGAGCTGGAGTTAGTGTATATATGTAAAGCTTATTGTATTAATTGCAATGTTTCTTGTTTGGTGTTCATCTAGCAAGTTTTCATACTCCATTAAAAATAATGTCCATGGGGAAAAAAATGATAGAACGTAGTTACAGCAGAGAGTGCCTAAATAGTGTGTTTTGTGATTCTGCATCAAAAGAAAGTTAAACAGAATTGTGAGGGACGCGTCTTGTCTTTTATTTGATCAACTAGGCATTAGAAAACCAGTAAGTTCAGCTGGTAAGACCTATGAATGCGCAGTTAAGGAGGTAATGATGAGTGTGAAGGGGAAGGTAGGTGGGTCACACACGCCATTTTGATTAATAAGTCAGTTGCAACCTTGTAAGTCACTCATGTGAAAGCCTGTGCTTTGTTGCATGAAAGTGTGATAGTTTTGTTATTGTTATATATCTTTATTTGATAGCTATTGTAATTTTTGGGATACCTTCATGTGGCAAAGTCTACTCATCAGTCAGACAGTGTTCAACAGTATAGCCTCTACAGTCATAGTAAGAAAGGAGGAAGGTGAGGGTGTCAGTTTGATACCTGATACCTTGTCAATTAAAGTACATCTTGAACAATTGAAGTGCTGGAATTTTGACTCTGGGAAAGTTAAATACCAGGCATTTGTGATACTTGAGTTGAGTGTTGGAAAATGTGTAACAAATTGTAAAAGCGTTGCTAAACATGCCAGAGATGTAGTCTCTACAGTCGTAACTCTCTTCTATTTAAGTAAATTGAAGGAAAAAGGTACAAGAAGAAGGAAAAAAAGCTTCACTAGAGAAAGATCTGTCTCAAAAAAGAAAAGGAAATGCTCTTTAAAACAATTGAAATTCTCAGCTGAGAAAGAACTTGAAAAATCTTCCACCACATGGAGGCCTTTTTTCAAAATGATTACAAACAACTGAAAATATTTTCCTGAAATAAAAATATTGCAAAACAAAAATCCATGAAATAGTATTTGGTTCGGTGCATTGCTGAGGTCTCTGCCAAAATCAGCAAAGCATGAAAGCCAGTACTTACTGGTGAAACACATCTGTTGGTCTACTAGTGAGAATAAATGTGAAGAAAATCTTTACCCTTTGTCTAAAAAAATGGAGTCTCAAAAACTGTAGGCATAGCTGTAGTTCAAAATGATTTTCATGTGGTTTGCTTTTAAAATTTTGTCTGAAATCGACGAAAGTGGACAGAGTCTGTTGTATGAAGAAGAGAGAATGCAGCTAATCCCTAAATTAAGAGTGCAATCTTTTTCTGACTATTCTTTCAGCCTAAATTTGAAACAAAGCCTACAGGCTGCTAAATTGCTGATAATATGCCAAATACCCAACATATCAAGGGCCAATTAAATTAATTCCTTTCATTTCATTTCAGATTACCACACTCTGGCCTTTTCTTCATTGCAGTTCCTTAGCAACACAGTTGTTTTTTCTCCTGCAAATTGAACACTTCCATCAGCTCTAAAGGATTTCAGGCCATTTATTTATAGAGGACAAGAGCGTTCATGACACATGATGGACATGGAGCCCAGCTGCTGCAAAGAATTCATAATCTTAAGATGCTGAGCTGGGGAAGGCTTCCACATGCACTTACATCCTCAGAATCAAAAGTTAAGTGATTACTAACATTATAAACCAAACAGTGGTGAAAGCATGATGAAAGGGTTAAGGTGGTAGGAGGTAGTGCTTAATGTGGCTAATGTAATTAAAAAAAATAATCTTGAAGTAGTAGTGGTAAGGACAGGTACAGTTAGCAGCCTAGGATGATTATATGAGTTGACTGTGTTTGTGTGTTCAGTAAGAAAATCCTTCAGGGCACCTTGTCTCATGTAGCCTCCAGCTCATATTTTTTGGAAGGGCAGTGCTGCAGTCTCTCCTGAGCCAGGGTACTGCGTGCCTGCACAGGATGCCCCAAAAAGCAGGGCTGAAGGAGCCACTGCCCTCTCCAGCCTTCTACCCACAGCTCTCTTCCAGTATGTGAAGTTTATAAACTGAGCGGGGAGACAGTTAAAAGAGCAGACTGGAACCCGTATTTCTCACAGAAGGAACAAGAGGGAAGAGTGGATCGATGGTGCATGTCAAACTCTATTGCCTGGCTGCTGTAGTGCAAGTCTGTTTTCTGAATTTACTTTGCTGATCTGTCAGCACGTTGGTGACTCCAGAGGCAGTAAGTGAAAGTTCAAACCTTGCATTGGTCAACTTCTTGAAAGAAATAATCACTGATTCCGTTAGATCTATAAAGACTTAAGTACTATCTGAGTTGGGGGTTCACATCAGTTTACTGATTGGAATTCCCCGCTGTTGGTACTGCCTTAAAGCACTAGGCAACTAATTGATGGACGTTGTCTTCAAAGGCTTTTTACACCCCTTGTGGATTTCTGTCTCAAATATACACTGCCTGATGTTGATCTTAACATCTTTTGTTGCTTTGGTGATCATGTACATGCAGATTATTCTTAAGTGCCATTCCTTGATTCCTGTTTACACGTGAAAATCCTAGAGTACAAAACGCATCTGGAACCCGTAGGTGAAACGGAACCTGTAAGGCAGGCCTGGGGAGTTCTTGTATTCTCTCTCTCTCTCTCTCTCTGAGAAGCAGATAATTGTTTGATATAAACCTGTATTTTTAGCATGTTTAATATTTCACTAAATTTTTTGTTGCCTTGCTTTTTAAATATTAGTGATATCACAGTTTTCTCCAAGTCTACGATGATAACAGCAATACTCTCTGAGCGTGTATTCCTACTATTTCCAGGGAGGAATACTGCCTCTACTGGTATTATTTCTGTAGGTGAAATTAGTTGAATGTGTGCCCCATAATTTCATTATGTGTGGAGACCGTTGAGTTTTTTACATGGAGGTAGTGATGTTATATCCCTCATTATCACCAGACTATGTTGTACAAACACTGATTCTTGGTTCCACTAATTCCCTCTGCCTGCCTCTTGCCCTCGGCATGAAACTGGATGCCCTTCCCCTTTTGTGAATTTAATAGTAATCAACAAATAGAGCTATTATGGCTATTATAGTTGGAATTCATGCATGTCTTTCTAGCATGCCAAAGTGAACTCAGTTTAATTACTTCTGGTGGTGAAAAACAAAACTAAACATGCCTTCTGACCCCTAGGTTTGCAATTTGATTGATCTTTTGTTTGTCACGGTCTAGTTTGGCTCGCTGGCTGTTTCCAACAAGGCATAAAGCTTATGCTTGGTCTAATCTTGTTGTTGAAATACTTTTCTAGAAATCTTGACCGTCACTGCTG